CCCAGGGGAGCTGAAGGGGTGCGCTCCTTCCCCATGGTGGGGAGCCTGGGGAAGCACTTAGCACGCAGAAAGGGAACTGCCCAGGCCTTTCTCCATCCCAGCCCCTTTCCCAGGACATCTCCAGCCCTTCAGGATCCCAAGCGCTCCCTGAGTCTCAGCCCTCCACAGCCGGCCCCTCTCTCTCCTGGGCCAAAGGAGCCCTTTTCTCCTGGATGGCTGTGCTGGCTTTCCCTGGCCAAGTTTTGGGGACAAGGGGGCTCTAAAGGCAGCTTTTGCAAGAAGCTGCTGGAAGCTTCCCCCAAGTCTGGCAAAGCCTTCCTTCCTGCCCACCCATCCGCCCTCCCTGCAGTCTGCAGAGTTTTCGTTCCTTCTTTCCTTTCCTCTCTGTTCTACGTAGCCATGACCTTGGTAGAGAAAGCATGAGGGATTTACCATCAAAATGCAGCAGTCTCTCCAGTCTTGGGGAGACTATATATATTTCTCTATCTCTCCCCAGAACCCCTACTCCTGGACAGCAGCAACTTGAGGTTCTGCATTTGCAGAAAAACTAACATTAGCACAAGCACACCATACCTTTATTCCTGCTCTTGAAAACCCCTCGTTCTTCCCAATACTCAGTCACCTGTGGGAGGTTGTGCCCTGGAGGGCTCCTACTGATCTAAAGGCACCCACAGTCTCAGGGCTGAGGCAGATACTTTGTGTAGCTCTGAAAACACCTTTCTCCCCAATAAATTCTCCTGCTTGAAAATCAATTTTCTCCCAGAGTGTGATAGGCTTTTCCTATGCTTATTTGTAGCACCACGTTATTTAGAAAGTAATTCAAAAGAGATGGAGTTGCTCACGATTGGATTTAGAGCATGTCAAGACAGAACTGCCAGATTCATCTTTTTTGTCCAAGAAGAATTCAGAAAAGGGCACTTCTGCTTACCCTGGAAGGGAATGGCTGCATGACTAAGAGCAGGAGAGGACACGCTTTCTTCTTTTTGCTTTCTAAAAGACTCACCTCATGTCACGTCCCGACCTTTCATTGTTCATGCAGTAGAGCGTGTTCGTAAACCTGCTTTGACAAAAAGGTGAAATCCCTGTCCCTCATTTCTAAAACCCGATGTCCTCGCTATTTCTCCTGGGCAGAAGCAGATCTGCCGGCCCAGCCGCCCCGTGTGCCGGGCTGGCTGTAGGAGTCCTGCTTCAGGACTCCCTTCGCAGCAGATGGGAATTCAGCCAGTGTCACTGTGGTTAAGCCAAGGGCAGAGCAAGAGTTTTGCCAGGCAGCACAGCATCTCACCCCCTCCGCCAAATCCCTGATAAGGCATTTTTTAGTCCCAAGTGAAAGAAAGGAGAGAAGCCCTTGGGTCTCTCTGAGGCGGCACAGAAGCCCGTGCCTCCAGCCGGGTGGGGCACATCTCAGCAGCAGCCACCTCCTTTGAGGCTGGGGCAGCTTCAGGGTAGGACCACCGGACAACAAACCCCCTGCCCCGCTCTCCCCCAGCTCCTGGGGCTGGCTGTGCAGTGCGTACAGTGGCCTCCTGCACCCGCCTGCTGGGGATTTTCAGGCCTCTGAGAGAATGAAACAGCCCCACCATGAGACTCTCCCTCCTGCCTGGGTC